GTTCCCTGACTCTCTTGCTGTGGCTCTTATCTTTTTCTTATGATGACGTCATTCCTCATGAAGAAAAATCATAATCTTTTCAGATAACTATGTTGAGAATAACAGGAATGAATGGCAACAACACAGTGGAAATAATAACAATATGGTAGGAATCGCAACAAAACAGCATGATGTAGTGGTCTATTAATGTCTCCAGGGAGCAGTTTCAGATCCCCAGAGGGTCTAGATCAGGGGTTCTCAATCTGTGGGTCTCCAGGTGTTTTGGCCTACAACTCCCAGAAATCCCAGCCAGTTTACCAGCTTTGAGGATTTCTGGGAGTTGAAGGCCAAAACATCTGGGGACCCACAGGTTGAGAACCACTGGTCTAGATTTATATGCCATAAACTCTTCTGGACTACCAGGCATTTCTTACAATGGGGAATGCAGTAGCTCAAAATGGCTACATGAAATAAATATGTGTGCATTTAGAGCAACATGGCTTCTCCTCCTTTTATTTCTTTCCAAAGTGAAAAGAAATTGACTTTGTGGGATGAAAGACAAACTGCTCATTGTGGGACTATCGGTCAGCATCTTATCCACATTAGAATACTCTTAGAGAACAGAAAATCTGCCAGCTATTTCAGATTTTTTTTTAAAAAAAAATCCATATAAGCAGGATGTAGGTTTCTTTCCAATTTCTGCTCATTGTTATTACTTGAAAAATCCCCATAGATTTTCGTATTCTGGCCAAATGTTCTTCAGGTTAATTCCTCCATAAGTGTTCCTCCATGGATGAAGGAAAAAAAATCCACTGGCACTTCCTGAAGATAATAGCCTCCTAATAAAAAGGCTGTTCTGCGATCAACTGTTTACCAATCACAGCAGACAGAGCACCAGGGATGAGCTCCTAGCATAAAGCTGTGGCATGTAGAGCTAACATTGTGCATTGTTAAAACAAAATGGTGCTCAAGGAAGGGGAAAATTCCTGCACCTCTGGGCAGAAACATACCTGAGGAACTACAGAGTAGTCCCATTTTTCAGTACACATTTATGAAAGATATCAAATAATTGCTAGGGTAAAGGAAAAATAGCAAAAGTGATTCAAAATTTCGTAAGCAACCCATTGTGCCTAACAATTCACAATCACTTGTATGTGTGCTATACATCCACTGTAATAAATAGAAGATTTTGTATGGATCAGTGCTATCTTATAGAAAATCAATAAGGACATTGAGAGGATGTTGAAGGAAGAAGGAGGCTAATAAAGAAGGGAAAGGATTATTCCAAAGCTTAGAAACAACCCACTATTAGAGAACCATAATGGTGAAAATATAATTAATGGTGTGTCAAGACAAAGGAATTCCATCATTCCTAATCAAATGACATTGTGCAGATACTTCATTTCCCCCTCAGTGGATTTTCTGTCGCAAGAAAACAGCTGAAAGAAAAAAAAAAACAGGAAAACATGGGAGATTTATAAACTGAAGATTATTCTAACATCTGGTCCCCCAGTAAAATTTGATACATGAGGCAGAATGGCAGCATAAGCAAAGCTTCCTTAGAAAACACCCAAACTCATTAGCCCATAGAAATCACAATTATTTTGAACATCACATTCCCTTCTGCCAACTGAAGGCATGTATGATTGGTCTCCTGTTAAATAGGGGTCTGTAGTTGTGGTCTTAAATATGCTTTCCAGTGAGCCAGCCTCACAAAACACAATGTACCTTTGACCCCATGGCAAGGAGTCAGGCTTGATGTGGAAAATACATTTTACTTGTTTTGGGAGTGGGTGGCAGTCCAGACTACAAATCCATTGTCATGAGGAGCAAAACTGAGGTTTAGAGGATCTTTATTACAATTTATTTCCTTGTATCTAGGCTTTTATTGGGGTTGCCACATATATTTTGCCAAAACAAGGAAAATGCATCATCACAAAGAGAGGCCACAGATTTGCATAGCTATTGCAAACCGCAATGAGTCGCCGCACAGGCTGAGATATTGCGGTATACAAGCGTACCAAATAAATAATAATAATAAATAAATAAATAAAATTGCATATGCTAATTTCTACAGAAAGATGCAAGTTGAGAAACAATTACTATAATTTAAATTGTAATGCAATATCACAGCAAGGAAGGCTGTGACCAGTTGCCTGTGTGTCTGTTCAGACTGCTGCCCAAGTGTTCACTGTTTATGAGCAATTTCAAGATCTTTGCCCTTCTTATGGTTCTTTTTCTTTAAAATAGACAGCCCAAAAGTAGCAGGTTTCTTCAAATAAAGGACTGTTATTGGAAAACCTTTTTTAAAAAGAGGATAACACTATGTAACACAAATTTTGTTCCTGGATTATAAATGTCATTTTCTAATTGGTTCTATCATTAAAACATGGGAAAAGTTTATTAAACTGCAAAACCTTGTTTTTGTGGGACATCCTGCAGCATATTTTGCTATAGTTTTTCAAGGAATATCTCACTGAGTCTCAACCAATTCAACATAGTTTGTGGCAGCCACAAAAACTAAGTTTCTGTAGTATAACTACTACTTTCAAATTAATTAATACACAATTAAACAGGAAATAAAACTTTCAAGCCACAAACAGAACATTTTCTAAATTCTGTTACATAGCGTAATTTGCTGTAAAATACCATACAAAGCTACCATAGTTTAAGACCTACATTGTCCAACTTTTGTGAGACTTCCTTGAACCAGTTAGAAGTAGTATTAGAGAACAACACTGAGCATCAGGGCCTGCTATAGATCTGTAACTTGACTTTGACTAGTACACAGGTTTCCTGGCATGATATCTTAAGCTCCAGCAACTGCAGCATCAAAGCATCATTTGAGGTACCTTAAAGGTATGATTAATTATTGAGGTACAAACATTAATGGACTAGGGTCCATTTGATCATTCATGGAGTCTAATCCCAAGTTAACAGGTATATCTTGAAGCTAGTAGTTTCCACTCTGTTTGGCTGAATGTGATATCATAAACTGTAACATACTTCAGAGGTGTACCTTGTGGGGGGACTGAAGCTAGTGCTGTTGATAGGATTTAGAGACTTAGAATAAGTGAGCAAGTATTTAGTTCTCATGTACATACAATACTCATACGCATGAGTTGTGCTGTCATATTTAGAGCATGGGGAAAAAAACCCTACAGAGCCAGAGTGGTATAGTAGTTTCAGTGTTGGACTGTGACTCTGGAGACCAGGAATTGATTTCCTGTTCAGCCATGGAAACCCACTGGGTGATCTCATCACACTGCCTCTTGAGGCTTCAAAGGAAGACAAAGGCAATTCCCCCTTGAACAAATCTTGCCAAGTAAACCCCGTGATAAGTTTGTCCAAGGGTCACTGTAAGTCAGAATTGAAGGCATAAAACAACAAAGAAAAACTCATGCTGGGTCATGCGTAATACAAAATTGATTTTGGAATTAAACAGAAGCTTCTTTAGTGACATACAAGATTGTATACATGAGATGGGGTAATGATATGCATATTTAGGACTAGATACCACAAATTATGCTTGGGTCATGCTGTTCACACTTATCATATCATTGTCAGAAGGAAATGATCCTGAAAGAAGAACCCATACTCTTTGGTTGAGACACAATGCAGTATCATTTCGTTTTGGGCCAGCTAGATGGGGGTTCAGATTCTCACTCAGCAAAGAGGCATGCTGTGTGGCAGTGGCATTGTTAGGGACTTAAAAGATGCAAGGCCATGGCCTGTGCAGGATAAATTATAGAATTTGCATGTGATAATTGTTACAGTAAGTTGTAACAGAATCATGTGTGTGTTAAAGAAAACCTTATATTGTTAATTATGTAAAGTTTCTGTTCTTTTTCCTCTTGCCTTTGTGCAAAGTTATTGTATCTTTTGCATTGGACCAAACTGAATTCCGCTTGAGTGCAACAATAATAATATGTAAGGTCATGGCCTGTGTAGTGGTTTGTGTAGTGGTTTGAATGCCTCATTAGGGGCCCTTCCATGCAGCCCTATATCCCAGAATATCAGGGCAGAAAATCCCACAGTATCTGCTTTGAACTGGGTTATCTGAGTCCACACACAGAAAATGTGGGATTTCCTGCTTTTATATTCTGGGATATAGGGCTGTGTGGAAGAGCCCTAGGACTCCAGGAGACCAGAGTTCAAATCCTCACTTAAGCATGGAAACCACTGGATAATCTTGGGCATGTCACATACTGTCATCCTCAGAGAAAGGCAAGGGCAAATCTTCTCTGAACATATATTGCCAAGAATTGTCTTAGGGCCTTTCCAGACAGCCATATAACCCAGAATATCAGGGCAGAAAACTGGGTTGAACTGGGTTATCTGAGTCCACACTGCCGTATATTCCAGTTCAAAGCAGAGCATATGGGATTCTTTTTAACTGTGTGCAAGGGGCTTTAGTTGCCATAATTCTAGAGGCCCTTCCGCACAGCCCTGTATCCCAGAATATCAAGGCAGAAAATCCCACAATATCTGCTTTGAACTAGGTTATCTGAGTCCACACTGAGATAATGTGGGATTTTCTGCCGTGATATTGTAGGATATAAGGCTGTGTGGAAGGGCCCAAAGATTACCTGAAGGCACACAGCAGCAACAACAACACAAGCATTATGTAGAGGAAATACAAGAAATCTGGAGCCCTTGGCATTAGATCTAAGGCTGGACCCTCATGGGTATCTTCTGTCCCAGGACTATCTTGCTGTTTGAAGCAAGGAGAGTTAAACTGAATGTGCTAAAATCTACCAAATAAAGAAAATCACCGATAATTCGCTGCCTTTTAATGGCATTGTAAAAAAATGCCAAATTGGTAACATACATGATTGTATATACTGTAAAAAAAACAACCAAAAAAACATCTGTGCCCCATGAGATGGTCAGCTCTTCCTTCTTATGCTAAGGGTTCTTTAGTCTAACAATCACCTGTCTCCCTGTCTATATGGGAGAGATGTATCAAGGCAAACAGGAACGTCGGTATGGATACCATCTTGAACTCTTGTCTTATACAAATAAGAGAAGGAGAGGGAGGAAAAAGTGCCAAAGCCAGCACTTTGAGAAAAAAAGAAGAAGACTGCAAGTAATCACTTAAAAGAAGAAGAAAAAAGCTTCACAGTTGGGCTCATCCACTCTGCCCTGCTGCTCTTCAGTCATCTCTAAGCTGGCTCCAGGTGAGATGTGCCATGCTAGCAGATGACGCCCATCTCTCCATCTGGGGTAGGTAAAGCCGGAACAATTCTCTGGTGTCTGAGTGCTGCTGAGCTGTCATTAGTATGCAAAGAATGTGAGGGGAGTGAAAGACAGAGAAAGTGTGAGGGGGGGGGGGAGCCAGTTGTTTTATTCATGGCTGGTGATATTACAGACTGAGTGAAAATCACATTATCGTAATGGGAAAGTTAGAGTTGCTGAGACGATGCCCTGAAGCCTGCACGCTGATTGGGGTGTGATTGCTATCTGTATTTATATGTAGAAAGCAAAGTTCACTCTCAGTTCAAGATGGTGGCGCCTGCTTCTTTCATGCTACATAATTCTTCAGCTGGGAGAAGGCTGGAGAAAAAAAAAGGAGAAAGGCATGTGAGTGCCTAACCAGGCATTTGGGGAGGGTGGGGGAGATATAGAGAGATTTCCAAGATGCACCAATAATCCCCTTCTTTTCCCATCCCATCCCATCTCCAACTGCCCCATTCAGGTGTAGTCAAAAAGATTTGCTGCTGTTGTTTTCGTTTTAAATCTGTGAAGGAGCTGGAGGAGAGTGGTAGCAGTACAGATCAGCTGAACAGGCAGATGTGATGGGAGAGAAATGAAAAGAGAAATACTGTCATGCCGGGGCCATGGAGAGCATTTGGAAGCAACACAGGGTAGAGGAAATGTGGATATGTTATATTATACCTGTATGACCCAAAGGGGAAAAAACCCAGTGCAGCTGATGGTATACAGAATAACCACCCATAACCATCCCCAATCTCTCCTCAGAAAATTTACTTTTTTGGACGGCACATCTTAGCGGATTCAGTAATACAAAAATAACTGTATTCTACCTTTCACAAAGGCTAGTATTAGAAATTAGTATAACTGGAGAATGAAATTCTCTCACTTTCTCTAAAGATTGTTGATTGATCTAAAAAAGGACAAAATATTGCCACTGGATCACAGGCCTGCAGATCTGACTCCTAGATAAGATCATGTCAAAGGGAGAAAATAACTAGCCAGGTCCATCAGCCAACCAGAGAAGGAGGAGCCTTGGAAGGAAGTTTGCTTTTCCAAGCCCCATGAGAAAGAAGAGTAAGTCTGGAGAGCTGAAGGGAAGCATGTCCTGGGCTCTTCCATTAGTTGAAGGGCCAGTGGCCAGTTGGGCATTAAACCTGTTTCCTCCACAAAGAAAACTGTAGAAAGAAGGACAACCTGGCTCCATTCATTGACCAGAGAAGGAGGGGCTAGAAGGAAGTTGACTACCTTTTATTTGCTAAGAAGTCTTGGTTCTAAATGCCAGTTCTCTGGAACTGAAACTTGAAGGAAGCAATCTCTTCTGGCTTCATCTATTCCCCAGCCACAGGACAAAGTACTTCCATGTTATATTGATGCACCTTATTGTTTACAAAGTGTCTTGAGAATAATTTGATTGAATGCTGTGGTGTAAATGTTTCTGCATAGTCTGTCTATGTTAAGTCATAGCAAAGGTGTTGCATGAGCAGTCTAGGGACGTAGCTCTGTCCAGGAGAGGGCACTGTGGCATTAGGTAGCCTAGCCAGGGTGTGGCCAAAAAATTGGCCCCTAATGTGGAGGGAGCAAGAGGATGGATGCCTCCAGCAGCAGGAGGGTTTAGGTGACAACAGTAATAAACTGTTCAATAGGCCAGGTCTAATACTAGCAACATTTGCATGCTACACAACTTACGTAGTTTTAGCTGTGTTCAATTAGACAGGTTCAGGTGATAACACTGAATGAAACATGCCATTACTATCTGTTCCTGCTTTTAAAGGTGCATGGATGATGGCAATGCCATGATAATGCAATTTAACTAGAGCTTTGGCATTCATTTTTGGGTTGTTCCAAGATTTTGCAAATGACATGGACACTAGTCACTCTGACTGAGGGATTCTGAAACTTGTAATCCAAGAAAGGAAGATCTCCAAAGCTCTGCCCAATTCATACTCTATCTATAGCAGTGGTTCTCAACCTGTGGATCCCCAGGAGTTTTGGCCTACAACTCCTAGAAATCCCAGCCAGTTTACCAGCTATTAGAATTTCAGGAGTTGAAGGCCAAAACACCTGGGAACCCACAGGTTGAGAACAACTGGTCTACAGGGAAGACACCAAATAGAGGTGCTCTCCCACAATTTCTCTTCTGTTGTCCCTGATGCCATAGCATAGTAGCTACTATAGGGACACAGTCATTGGAATATCTGTGCATAAGTACAGCTGCTCTCCAAATAGATGTTTGTCTTCTCTTGGTCATAAAAATGGAGAGAACTTACAAATAATCACTCTCATGTTGGGAATACACAGGTTGACCATGATTGTTTGAGTTCTGTATGTTTTCCTTCTTGTAGGGGTGCTATAAGGTTTGGGTGTTTGTGTTCTATGCCAAGAAACGAGCCATCCCTCCTGCTATGACCTGTGTATGGTGCTTTGCTAATAGTCTTATTTATAACATATTGTTGTCACTGTTGTTATTGTTCAAGTTTTTTCTGACTTATAGCAACCCTAAAACAAACCTATCATGGAGTTTTCTGGGGGTGAGAATGTGTGACTTGCCCATGGTCACCCGGTGGGTTTCCATAGCTGTAGGGGAATTGAACTTTGTGCATCCTATTTTTTCCCTCCAAGAAGCTCAAGGTGGTATACATATATTTCTTCCTCTCCACATTATCTTCATAAGAATCCTGTGCAATTGTTTAAGCTCAGATTGCTTCAAGGAAAACTTCATGGCTGAGTGAGAGTTTAAATGCAAGTGTCCCACAATCCAGCCAACATTCTAACCTGGAGCTTTCCAAGCATTTAATGTTGATGACGCAATTTTTAGACATGCATCATTTCATAATAGAGTAATTCAGTTTTACCAGCCAACCAGAGGTTGTTACATAAATTGTAACAACAAAACATGAAGACACAATATATCTCATGAAAACCTTTCATTTATATTTTAAAAATAATATTATTTGTAAGATAATATACATTTCCAAGATTTTTTGTTATTTCTCATTATGTTCAGGTGATACACCTACACACTGAAGCCAAAGTACAATGTGCTGTGACACAAAGTTTGGAAAGCTCTGCTCTAACCACTATACCAAGCATTAAGAATAAAGGCAAGAATAAAGCATTAGCAGAACTTCAATATAATACAGGAAAGGGTTTTTAAAACTACAATGAGAAGGCAATTTTTTCAAATGGCAATCATAAATTATCGACAATAGTATGAGGCTGATCTCTTACCACTTCATCACACTGGAGAAAAAAATCTACTTTAAAATCCAGTTTCTGTCTCCTGCAGAATTCTGGGGTTTGTAGTTTAGGGAGGCTGTTAAAGGCTCCTCCCTATCCGCAGAATTCTGCAGGAGTCAGAAACCGGATTTTAAGTGGATTTTTTCTCTAGTGTGACAAGGCACTTAGGACACTGTGTATTCTGAGTACTGCCACAGGAAAGGCCCTTTCCTTCCTGACAACTGTATTTTGATGGTGCAGAGCAGTGGTTCCCATGCTTGGGCCTCCATGTGTTTGGGAATTCAACTCCCAAGTGCTCTAGTCAACTTGGCCAACTGTCAGGAATTTTGGGAGCTGAGGTCCAAAACACCTGGTGTACCAATGTTTGGGAAGCACTGTTTTAGATAAATTGAATCGTAAGATCATTATCACCACCACCACCGTCAAGCAGGAGGAGGAGAAAGAGAAGGAGAGCTACTCTGGAAATATTTTCAAATGAAGAACTAGGACAAATGTATTTTAGTTAAACAAATGCTCCATATTATTTCTGTTTATTGCCTCAGGCCCTTTCCCCAAGCTACTTATGCCCTGGAGTTCTCAGTATTTTTATTTTATTTTATTATTTTTTTCCATGTCAAGAGTGATTTTTGAAACTGCAAGTCACTTCTGGTGTGAGAGAATTGGCCGTCTGCAAGGACGTTGCCCAGGGAATGCCCAGATGTTTTGATGTTTTACCATCCTTATGGGAGGCTTCTCTCATGTCCCCGCATGGGAAGCTGGAGCTGATAGAGGAAGCTCATCTGCGCTCTCCTCGGATTCAGTCTTCAGTCCTGCCCGCACAAGTGTTTAACCCATTGTGCCACTGGGGGCTCCATTTATACAATTATATTATCAGTGCTTTAATTTTTACAGTACAAGATCTGAAAGCTCAGAAAAAGTAATTGTTTGGATTACAGTTCCCCAAAATCTTCCAGCCAGCATAGCCACTGGGAAATTCTGAGAATTGTAATCTAAGAATCATTTTTTTCTAAGCTCTGATGGAAATATGCTTGTGTGTAAAGACTGAAAATAGAATGTTTAGTAAATGGTAAGTAAAAAATGAAGAAAAAAATCTCATACATGAATCTTGGAATATTTTGTCTCTCCAGGGCCCTAACTGGAACCCAGATCTCATCAGTTCCTGACAGTGTGGACAGTGTTAAGAGAAAATTGGAGTTGGAGTCTAACAGGTGACAAGTTCTTGGAATATATGAAAAGATTATCTGGGATAACGAAAGAGGAAGCATATGGAAGCCAACTAAAAATGGCAAATATGCAGAGAAGAGCCTTGGTAAAATGCTGTCCTTTTCACCTAGGATATGCATATCTGTGCTGTGGATTCCAGCACTCTCTCTCTCCCTCCCACTGAAATCCTACAGATCTGGAAAGAGAACAGAGACATCACTTCCTTCCTGCTCAGCTAATTAAAAGCTGGCCACGCGGTTGCTGAAGGGTGTTCTAAGCCAGAGATTTTCACAGCTGGAACTCAGAAGAACATAGGATAAGTGAACCGTGGGTGTGGAACCCATGCAAATAAAGAATTAACAAGAAACGTCTGCCTCTTCCTAAAGGGCACAGGCTGAGCCCAAACATCCTTCTGTATAGGGTCAATGTATGGTCAATTAGAACAGTAGCTCACTCAGTGGGGGAGAAGGGTTTATTTAGCATCTTGTAAGCAATTTCACAACAAGGCAAGAGCATAAAACCCTTCCTTAGAGGGAACTACCAAATATACATTGGCGTATATATTTGTCCCTACTAGTTTATATCCAAACCCACAATCTAAGTCAGGGATGGGAATTGTGTGGCCTCCCAGATATTATGGGACTACAACTCCTAGCATTCCTCATTATTGGCTACATTGACTAGGACTACTAGAAACTGTAATTCCACATTTAGACAGCCGCATAATTTTCCAGCCACCATAGCCACTGCAGAGTATTGGAAGTTGTAATCCAACAATCAATTTTTCTCAGCTGTAGAGAAATATGTTTGTGTCTGAAGACTGAAAATCTGAAGTAGGAAGACATAAGTTGCTGGACACATTATTTTATCTTTTCTGTTTAAAGACCTAAAAGCAGGAAGGTGAGACTGTGACCTTCTGAATGTTGGGTTTTTTAAAAAAAAAATTATAAATTTTATTTGATACATCCCAACAATTAACAAACTTTTGCCATACAAGACTTATTTCAGTATACATTATTCCAAAAGTAATTAATTCTTAAATGACATTTTATACAGCAATTCTAAATGATGTCATTGCATCAGTTTACCTGTGTGGAAAGCCTGGTTCAAAATGCTATATCTGTTGGCTCCGTCCACTTTTTCTGGATGTTGTTAGATTTCAGTTTCTGCTATGCTTTCCATTGGCCGCCCTGCCCAGGACTGATATAAATTAAGAATTCAGCAACGTCTGGAGGGTAACAGATTTCATACCTCTAGCTCAGAGCATTCTCATTTGAACTCTGATAAAAGCAAATGTCACAAAGGCTGGATCTACACTGTCTTATATCCCAGGATCGAATCCCAGATTATATGCTTTGAACTGGATTATATGAGTCTACATTGCCAGATAATCTGGGACAAGCAGATAATATGGGATCATATACTGGGATGTGGGGCGGTGTAGATCCAGCCAAAAAGGCATGTTGCACAAAAGCGGGTCATTTCCCACAAACTATGGTGTGGGCAAAGTAAAACATAATATTAACATTTCTCTAGAAGGGCAACTTTCCACAATATGGTGCTTTCCGGACCACCCAGTACAATTAGTGGTCATGGATGATAGGGGCTGTGATTCAAAGTACCAAGCTGAGAATGGATGCTTTATGGGCATTTCAACTCAGGATGCTACAAACACGGACCCAACAGGCCTGTTTTATGGTCCTTTTACTCTGCTTTTTATCCTTTGGCTTTTGTATAGGATTATAAAGTAGATTTAAAAATAGGTGCTACATAATTTGGTTCTCTTTGTATGGTATTCTGATGTGTGTGCGTGCATGTGCGTGTAGACCAGGGGTCCTCAAACTAAGGCCCAAGGGTCGGATACGGCCCTCCAAGGTAATTTACCCGGCCTTTGCTCATGGTCAACGTAAGTCTGAAATGACGTGAAAGCACACAACAACAACAACAATCCTATCTCATCAACTAAAAACAGTCCCACACTTCCCATTGAAATACTAGTAAGTTTATAGATGTTAAAATTGTTCTTCATTTTAATTGTTGTATTGTTTTTAAGAGGTTTTTTGCATTACAAATAAGATATGTGTAATGTGCATAGCAATTCATGTTTTTTTCAAATTATAATCTGTCCCTCCAACAATTTGGCCCTCTGTTTAAAAAGTTTGAGGACCCCTGGTGTAGACACATACTGAAGGAATACAAACATTTCCTATCTCCCACCAAACATCTATCTCAACTGTAGATGATGGAGCTCTGATATATTTGATCCAAAAGCATCTCCGCTATCACAATATACTTACAATTCAAAGACACAATTTATCCAGGCAATCGAGATATGATAATGCCAGTATGAATGCACTTTTCTGTTATATCAATAAAAGCTGATAGGATTTGGAGATTTAATTCTTATATTAATATTTCCATATCAGCTGGATGTTCAGTGAGCTATTTCTAAACTATGGAGTCAGATCTGTAACAAACCCCCACACATGGGTAGTCAGTTAGAACGGGAATGATTCACAGTGGACATTATCATAATTCACATACATCGTCATATAGCACATTATAGATGACAGCTCAAGAATTCCCAAGGCACCTCCATTTCAGAAACAGACACAAGGGAGACAACTGACAATGTGGGAGAAATGGAGGCAAATTTAGTGAGCTGCTATGGTCAGGATACACCGCTATAGTGATTCCTATAGAATCTGGATTCTTTCGTGACCCACCCGGTGGCAGTTTTGAGTCTCTGGTGGACCACTAGAAATCTTTACATGCAACTGAGGAGCCATTTATACTGACCATTTAATGCAGTTTCAAACTGGCATCAAAGAAAGTGACTTCACCGTGCAGAAGATTACGTAGGAAATCCTGGAACCAGTTTCAGGCCAGAATGGTGATTACATAAGCCATAGAGCACTGATGCACATTAAGGGACTTTTGTATGCTTTTTTTTTTTTGGGGGGGGGGGGAGTTGTCACCTGGCCATCGCAGTTTGAAAGGTAGCTTCAACTTGCATTAAATGGCCCTTAATCTGCATTAAATGTAGATGAGGACATAATCTGGCCCTAGAATAGATCCTCTTCTGGACCACCAGGTCCTGATATTTTGTACTGGTTCTCACCCTTTGTCAACTCTGCAGATTACATTAAAGGTTCAACAAAAGGTTGGCTTTTGAAGAGACAGTAGATAAGTGTTTCCCAACTAAAGTAGTGGATCTTGACAAGTGGCAACCAGAAATAGGGATGTGTAGGGATGGAAGAGTCAAGATATAAGGAAGGAAGAAAGCCAGGCAACCTCTGAAAATAAAAATAAAAGGTTTGGGCAACATATGAAAGTCAACAGCAAGATAAAAGAGTTGAGGTATTAAAATTATTTTGCTAGGAAAAAGTAGCAAAATAATTTTTAATACCTCAACTCTTGTATCTTGCTGTTAACTTTCATATGTTGTCCAAACCTTTTTCCTGGTGTTTTTTTCCCTTCTCTCTTCCCTCCCCCTTTTTTCTAACTTTCCTCAGCACATTGTCCCCCCTCTTTTTTTATAACCACTTTTTATCTCAATAATCACCAAAACTTTTTCCTATTACACTCCACTCCTGTGAGCAACCATTATTCTCAATAAAAAACATTATAAAAATTATTTTGCTCTAGTCTTTAAAAAATCCCTGTTGTAGGATAAAACCCAATTATTAGAGGAATGTCTAACTAGTTTGTAATATTTCTAGTATGGAATGATAAAGACCCACTTCACATTTGACAATTGTAGGAATTACATTTGAGTTCATACATTTGGCATGGGTATATCACCTGCATTGAGACCCCGGTGGTGCAATGGGTTAAACGCTTATGCTGGCAGGATTGCTGACCAAAAGGTCGCAGTTTGAATCTGGGGAATGGGGTGAGCTCTCGTCTGTCAGCTCCAGCAGCTCATGCATGAACATGAGATAAGCCTCTCACAGGATGGTAAAACTTCCGGGCATCCTTTGGGCAAATTCCTTGCAGTTTCTCAAGTCGCTCTGACATGAAAACAATCACCTGTATACATATTTATTTTGTAGTATACCAAACATCCCCGAATCTCCTATCTTGGTGAATTCCAATGCAGCAGAAATGGCACAGGTATAATTAATTTTTAAAAAGGCACTGTGTTGAAGCAACATGATACACTACAGCTTGGTGGTTCTTCCTTTTCCCAGCATACCTTTCTGGGCAGTCATCTATGATACTGAAGCAAAAACTGAAAACAATTTACACAGAATTTAAAAACCACAAAGCACTTTATGACCATTATCACACCAATCATCATTTCCTTCATCCCCTTGGAGTATATGTATGCCACCTGGCTAATTCTAGGCCAGGCCTACTGATATGCCACTGGCAATTTAAATGTGCATATTTTTAAAAAACCTTTTCAAAATGAGTCTGAAATTCCATTAAAAGTAGGGTTAGGTTAAAATTACTGAATGTTTTTAAACAGCATTTTTTCCAAAGCTGGTTTTAATTTTTGGGGAAGAGACAAAATATACAGCCAGCCAGCCAGCCAACCATTGTTTTGACATTTGTTGAAAAAACATGTATATTGCCTTCACTCTCAGTTGTCTTCACTTGCTTTGTAGTAGTACTGTGTTGTTAACTTCTATTCTGATTGGTTGTGGAGTTTCATTCAAATTGAAAAGAGGAAGAAATAATGATAAAGGAGAAACAGTTCGGAAGTTACAGAAACAATGGTGCTGAACGAAAGAAAATATTGAAATAGTTCATTGATGGGGGAGGTTTTCAATGCTTTGAAATAGTTTTGATCCATTTCATAAGGTAGCTATATTAGTCCATTGTAGCAGCTGGGGATAACATTTCATGCATCTGATATGGATGGAAGCACACAAAAGTTAATGCTACAGCTAAGAATGGAAAATAAATTAGTGAGATTCTTATTTCCCTATAAAAATAGTACTTTCACACTGGCAGCAGTGCATTTTGCTTATGTTCCAAAGACTTTTGATATATCTGGATAAAAATACAGTAGACGATGTAGACAAATGTACCTTTGTCAGTAGAAAAGATATATACACAAATTTGTAAAATGTACACCAAAGAAATATTTGTGCAATTCCAAGTGGGAGCAGAAAATATCTCGCAATTTAGTGTGGAACTGGGAAGGAAGGAGAATAGTGCTAGGATTTTCAAAAATGGAACAAGAGTGGGAGTAGCAGATTTCTTACATCTCTAGCTACAATAAATCTGTTAATCTTAAAGATGCAATACAACTGTTGATTAGTTTTGATTTAAACTTTGAAGGTGGAGGAAATTTTCAGAAGCCTTAGAAGCCTGTTTCAGAGGGCCAAAGCTCGCAAGGTCCAACATTCTCTTGGA